AAGCCTATTTGATGAGCTTTTATAAGTCCAAAATCCATTAAAATTGGTGTAAGGTTAATTAATAGGTGTTTAATGTGATTTTTCTCTCTATTTGGAAGACACCATAGAAGACTATATAGGGGAGGGATTTGGGGGCTGTAAATAGATGAATTCGTCATTGAATCTTCATCAAACGTTGAGGTATGATATATGATTCACTTTTGAGACCTCTTTCTTTAAAGGGTTCTTTCAAAATATTTTCGAAAATTGGGTTTTCATGTGTGTTCTTCTCATTCTCGAAAATAGGGTTATGAATTGATTTGTCTATGATTTATATTTGATAATATGAATAGACTAACATATATTCTAACTTAGTTGTGATTTATCTTGATGATTTGGTATAGATTGTAGATAATGATCCTTCACCGTTAGCCTTAGTTTTGATATTGACATGAATTAAGTTGAGATTGGTTCAATGGACTTGGTTATCGGTTGAATTACTATTAATTGATATTGTTACATTAATCATGAACAAATTAGAGTGAATTTTAGTCTTTCATGCTAGTTCTTGAGATGATGATTTATGTTACAAAGTGAATTAACCTAAGTGTCTTGGCTTAAGGTATGATCTAGTATTGAATTGTGTTGTAGTGATTATCCTAGCCTTGTTATCATGTTGATTATTGTATTATGATGTTGTATAACCTAAATTGGATTTAATTGAGAGTTTATGGTAAGGCCTTGATGATGAACTACGAAGGAGACTTGGTAAGTCTTATGATTTCTATCCTTTACTTCAAATTATGGTTCATTGTGATTAAGTTATAATGTTATAATGGAATAAGCCTTGTATAAGTGTTTATAGGGTGAGATGCTAATGTGCTAACGTCACTTATATGAATTGTAGTGAAAGGACTTATACTCATGCAATTATTATTGAGATATTAATGATGATGATTATACAAGGGTTAGAACCTATGATCTAAACTAAGCTATTATTGATAATTAAAGGCTTAAGGACATTTTAATAAAGGGACTTAGCTTAACACCGAGTGAACTTGACAATGGGAGGTAATGAATTCCCATAGAGGAAGATTTACCCTATAGTTCTAAACGTGGTATTGACTCCTCAATGAGGGATACTCTTCCGTTGGATTCCCATGAGAGTAGGCCCCAATTTCCAAATGTTATGTTGAGGGATTATACCTATCTTCTAGTTCTTGAACTATGTTTCCCCTATAGAAAGACTAGTTAGTGGATCCACCTACAAAGCTATGTTTATGTTTGGTTTTACTTTGGCCAGTAGACCACCTTCCATCGGTGTACGGTTTTACAACACCGGATTCCACACTAGCTCATGTGGTCTATATTGGTTAGATCAAGATGTTCCAAAAAGGTAAAACGATTTAAAGGATTGAACTATAACTAAATTAACCTAAGGGGTCTAGCTTAGTCTAGGTAGGGGTATGAGACCCTACCTAAGCATTGCACTAGTTAGCCTTGAGGGGAGTCTTAGGAGAATGTTCTTACGTATGTTTATGCATACAATGATATATGATATGTGTATTAAGGATTTGCATAATGTTGATACTATATGTTGGTTAGTTCACTTATGGATATGTGTTGGTCTATATTGTTAAAGTAAGATGAAATGAATATGTAAATGTTATGTTATGTGAAGTAGGGTTTTATTCATGATTCTTTTGGGTTATTTTATTAAGTAAGATTATGGGGCTTTTCTTGGTCATTGCACTTGTTGACTTGATTGGGATTAATGGGTATTTGACTTACTTTGTTAATATGGAATGCACTCTTATTCGTGTTTATTATTAAATATGACTTGATGGTTGATTTATTTGGATATGTATTTACTTACATGATATGAATGGTTTATTTGACTATACTTGATGTTGTAGTATTGTGATGAACATGCCTATGAATTAATAAATGTGAAATTTTGATTGGTATGGTCTTGTTGTATATGCATGAAGGTTTTAAATAAAAAATGTGTACTTGTTGAAATGTACTTGTCTTAGCATGTTTTATAAGTATATGTGCATATGATATCATACCTAGTACAAGTGGCGTACTAACCCCATTTGTTTCTTTTCCCCAACATTTCATGATACGGTCGTTAAAGGCTCATTCGAGACGACTTGAAGAAGACTTGGATATTCTCTACCATCCAAGTGGGTAGGTCCTCACTTTCCGAGGAAGATAACAATATTTCGCTTATGGAGTTGCTTTGTTTTTCCAACTCTCTTATGTTCACTCTATTTTCATTTGAGTACGATTTGTATAAGCCTATATGTGGCTTTTTTACATTGATATAGGGCTATGCCAAATTGCTATGATCAGTTAGATGGTATGAGATGAGCTAATCCTTAATACTATGTTATATCTTATATATATATGTGTGTGAAATAAAGGTAGAAGGTTATGTAACCTTCCTATACGAAGAGTCTATGTATACTCGACATATATATTATGTGTATGTAGAGGTCTATGTAAACCTCCAAGTAGAAGTAATAAAAAGTTGTAAAATTTAGGCTAAATTCGGCTTATGAATGTGATGATGTAAGCTAAGAGTCTAGTCTTAGTCTTCAAAGAAGGCGACGATGCCGGTTACATCTAGGGGTAAACCCGAATGTGACAATTATGAGTCTTGTACTAGACCTCCGAAGGGTCAAGTATGCCTTGTGATGATTCAAAAGTGCCCCTTCTTCTAGGGTGTACTTGTGGGTCGTTACAATGTTATAGTTTCAATGAAGAGTATAGCTGAGTGCATTTCTTTTAAATTGTTATATGGTGACTATGTATTCTCGAAGACTAAATTTTTTCACATTTAAGATAAGAGGAAACACCGATTTCTAAATGAGTTTTCATGAGAAGTTTTGTGTTATATCTGTTAAGAGATAATATTTTGAGAAATAACCTCAAACCACAGAGAAAGAGCTAAATTTTAAACTTATGAGCTAAGTATTTTGGGAGTAGTATTGAGCATCGATATTGGGACGAGTTAATAATAACTCAAGTCTCCCTAAACTATGTAGCCAACATAGGTATAAAGTGTCATACTTTTTAGATGATTCCTTAATGAATTTTAGCATAGACTACTTGATCCACTTAGTTTAGGAATTATATATCCCGACAAGTTATAGTATTGTTCTGGCAGGGTAGATGAGATGCTATATCATCACATAGCTCGTAGTGATGGTGCATCGATATGGGGACGACTTAATAATAACTCAAGTCTCCATAAACCATGTATCCAACGTGGGTATAAAGGGTCTTACTTTTTAGATTATTCCTTACTAAATTTTAGCATATACTGGTTGATCCACTTAGTTTAGTAATTATATATCCCGGCAAGTTATATAGGGCTGTTCTAATAGGGTGGATGATAGCTATATATAATTTTACGAAAGATTCTCTAACCGACAATCATCACTACGAGCTATGTGATGATGTAGTGTCTCATCCACCCTACTAGAACAGCCCTATATATCTTGGCGGGATATATAATTACTAAACTAAGTGGATCAACCAGTATATGATAAAATTCATTAAGGAATTATCTAAAAAGTAACTCAATGTATTGAAGATACAATAGAAACTCAATATATATATATACATATATATTGTTGTTTATTTCTGTATTAAGTTGAGTGTTCATGAGTTGAGTAAATAGGCGGTATGTTTTCTTTTTAAGAATTCATTTTAGCTTATGTCATGTTTAGTTTTCCCCTCCCATGCTTGTAAATTCAATATGCGGATGCCATTTGACCTGCATCATTTTCTAATGTAGATATAGGTAATTAGGATTAATATCCAGCACCTCATTGATCAAATTAAACATCTCTGAGTCAGTTGGTGAGCCTCGTTTCTTTCTGGAGGATCCTTTTTTATTTATTTGTTAGCAAGTTATAAGGATGATTGAGGGTATTCTCTCGACATCCCTCATAGTTATTAGATACTTCATAGACATTTAGAGGTTATTATTTCATTAGCTTATTCATATAAGTTGTTTTGATTATAAAACTTAAGTTTCCTTAATGGCCAGCTGAATAGTTTCCTTTAATGCATTCTAAGTTTGAGTTATGAATCTACCTCTTGAGTTGCCTTAAATGTTGGGTAAAGTCATCTGCTGAGTAGTAGGCCAGACCAAGAGTTTGTTTAGGGTCAACAATGGTTCTCGAGTGCTACTCCCGTCTAGGGTGTAGGCTCGGGGCATAAAAACTTGGTACTAAAGAATAGATTTAAAGAGTCCTAGGAAGTCTATGAAGTCGTTTCTGTAGAGTTCTGGTTATCGATGTGAAGCGCCTGATATCTATCGTTAGGAGGCTACAACATTTTGGAACTATCTTAATTTTTTGTTATTCATTTTTTGTGATAGAGTTTATCTCTGCATATATTTTTTTCTAATTTAGGCTTGCACATATATTTCAGATAATTCCTTCATGAAGAGCTATTCGAGGTCGTCCAACTAGGAGGAATGTCAAGGAACAAGGGGTATCTAATGCACCTGAAGTGCAACCAGAAGGAGAGGTCACCAATTTTGAGTCCTCGAAAACTATGAGGATGTTAACCAAGATGTGACCAATCAAGTTGGACAAAGAGAGAACTGATAGGAAGTGACTAATACTTAAAGGATCTATCAGTTCCTTATGAATAATAATCTATGTTTAGTTGTACAAGTGTCACTAAGTATCCGATGAAATTTGTAGAGGACCCCCAGAAAGTGTTAGAGGTCATGCACGTTGCCGATGCTGAGCTAGTGAAACTAGATGCCTATAAACTGAAGAGTGTTTCTAGGACTTATTTTCACTAGTGGAAGAAGAGTACAACTTAGGGTGCACCAATTTTCAGTTGGTCTATGTTTGACGAGGCCTTTTTGGGCATTTTTCCCTCATGAACTGAGGGAAGCCAATGTCAAATAATTCCATACCCTTATGTAGGAACATATTAGTGTTCATGAGTAAAGTTTTAAGTTTACCCAACTTCTCTAATATGCTCCGGAGATGGTTGCTGATATTAGGAGCAGCATGAGTCAATTTAAGGAGGGCAAGGAAACTATTCTAATAGGGGATAGTGACATAGCGAGAATAACGGTTTATGTGCAGCAAGTTGAGGAAGAGAAGCCGAGGGATAGAGAATAATATAGAAACAATAAATCTAAGAAAGGAAATAAGTCTAGGAAACAAAGGAGTAATGTGCACCGGTCTTCTTTTCAACAAAAGCAAAAAGGACTCGCTCTATTAGTGCACCAGAAACAAAGGTGAGTACAATAGCCAGAATTTGCATAATTTCAGAGGAAGACCTGCTTATTTTCAGGGTTGTGTAGCACAACGAGGAAATTGGGATCCCACATGTGCTAAGTGTTGTAGGAACCACCCCAGTGCTTGTTATGATGCCTCTTCTAGTTGTTTGAAATGTGGTCAGAAGGGCCTCTTCAACAAAGAGTGCACTAAGAACATGCAAGGTAACGGGAGTAGGGGCAATAGAACCCAATCATCTTTAGTTGCTACCCCTAATAGGGCTGCACCTAGAAGCGCTACTTCAAGGAATGGTGGAGGAGCAAACTGCCTATATGCTATCACTAGTGGCCAAAAGCAAGAGAAATCGCTAGAGGTTGTCACTGATACGATTAAAGTCTTTAATTTTGATGTTTATGCTTTGCTATGTCCAAGAGTTAGTTTATATTTTGTGACTCCTTATATTGCCATAAATTTTGCTATTATTCCTGAGCAACTTCTTGAGCCCTACAGTCTTTTCACACCAGTCTATGAGGTTGAGAAAGTCTATCATGATTGTACAATTTCTGTTAATCACAAGAGATCCATGACTGTCTTAGTTGAATTAGACATGATATGTACTAACTTCATGTATGTGAGGTAGATTTATTGCCATTCTCGGTATGCACTAACTTCATGTCTGTTATGCCTGAATCAATTTTTGAACTTGAGTTGTTAAGTTTTAGTTTCCTAATGAGCTAGTTTTTAAGTAGAGGAGTAGTTTACAAGTGCTTAAGGGTCTCTTTATTTTGTATCTTAAGGAGAGAAAGTTAGTTTCCAAGGGTTGTGTTTATCACTTAGTCTGAGTTAATGATTCTAGTGTTGAGTGTAACCACTCAAAAACTAGCCTTAGAAAAGTGTAGCAGAAATCAATTAAACCAGTGAACCATGACAAGGTTCACGGACCATGATGTGGTCCACGATCCATTGACCTGCCCATGGACATAGACACTTTACAGTAGAGGTGGACCATGGATCCCTTCATGGGTGGGACAACCTCATGGACCATCATTGGACTCATGGAAGCCAATCAGAGTCTACAAGGCCCAACAGTAAGACCATGGACCTTCATGGTCCGTGGTCTTGATGAAGAACCGCGGTGGAATCCGTGGAAAGAGTCCAAAAAACTAGTATCTACTGGATTAAGGACCATGACCGGCTTCACGGTCTGTGGTCCCTTTGACGTCCAATTATAGGGGCTCGTGGTCAGCTTCATTACGGTTTTAAGTAGGACTGTTTTGGTCTTTTCTTCTATGAGTTGGACACCTACACTATGTTTTTTTAACCCCTAACCTAAGTGGTTTTGATCAGTTTTTGCCTAGTAAAAAAATTAGAAACTAACCTAATAAATTATTCACAAAAGTCAAGAAAAAATTCGAGCAAAATAGAGGAGAATAGTCTAGCATTCCTCTCTAAGAAATGCAATAATTTTCAACTGTTACAACGCTAAAATCAAAAGATTTCTCCATAAAATTTTTCCCCAGGTATGAGAGATTTCACTAGAGATTTTATTTAACCGATTAGTACCCTAGATTTCAGTCAGAATTATGATTCCCATAACGGTATCTTGACTTAGGGTTTCTTGAATGATATAAATTATTGGGTTTTAGCGGTTAGAATGATCCAAATCGGATTATCATGTTATAACTTAGTTTCCCGTATGAGATTCATAAACCTAGTTGTATATATTTTTTTAGTTCATGAATTATGCATGGTAGGGCAGATTATTCAGATACACACACACTTTAGTTTACGAATGTCATATTATTAGTCATAATTTTCATATTTTCAGAGTTTGCATATTAGTAATTGAGCGATCCAGTACTTTAGCATTTCAGTAATAACATTGCTTATTTGCATTCTAATTGGTAAAAGATTAAAACCGGAATTAGGGTCAGCCACTCTCAAGTTCTAGAACTACGTGCCCCGTATGTTCTAAGTCCCCTTTATGGGCATTTTTTTAGTTATCACATCAGCTATACCTCGATACCTTTTGCAGGGTATATTGGTTCCTATCAATAGGGAGTATCCATAAAAAATCCATATTTAGCTCATGTGATTTTATGTCAGTTATTATTAGCCCCCCTACAGTCAGATTCTAGTGCATTTACTAGGTTATCAGTTTCAATTCACATTTTAATTTCAACATGTTATAAACTTAGTTATTGCATCAGTCATTTCATGTTCATTATTCACAATTGGTATCATGCTTATCTTTTATCATTTCTCAAATATTGTTCGTTGGTTTAGTTATCTTGTTATTCAACTTTATTATATCATGCATACTTGGTACCTTTCAAGTACTAACACATACACTGCACTACATCTCCTTGTGACATAGGTCAAGGTTCTCATCTTCCAGATCATGCATATATCATTTCCTGATCTTCAGTTCAGCTGCATCAATGGTGAGTCCTCATTCCTCGATTATGATTTATATGATTGTATTTCCTAGATTTCAATTTTAGTTTTAGTTTTGATAAATTTTGTTGGGGCATATCTCAACACTTCTAATCCGTTTAGAGGCTTATTTCAGACATAGTTAAATTCAACTTTATTATTTGAGTTTGACTTTTTAGTTGTTAAAATCTCAGTTTTTATTAATAATTTAGTTTATGGGTATTCCCCATCATTTTCATTATATGATGATCTTAGCTTCCGCACAATGTTTATTCATCCATTTTATCTTTAGTATGCATATGATATGCCAACATGGTAAACTATGGGTCACTCATGATCCTAGGTCCTGTTTCTGCGTCCAGGTGGTAGCATAGGGGCATGAAAAACTTGGTATTAGAGAATTAGTTTAAAGATAACTAGTATCTCTTATAAGATGCACTAAGTAGATTCCTTTTCATGGGCGTGAAGTGCACCACATCTAATGAGAAGGAGGTTGCTATGTGACTTAGGAAAACTTCATTTTTTTGTTACTCTTATCGTGCATAATATATGATCTAATTCCTGCTTCTAACTCGACATTGATAGAGCGTATTAAAGAAAGGCCAATGCACGAAATGCTAATGCATCTGCTCCAGTACCAAATCAAGAAGTTTTGAATGCTGAGTTTCAGAATGACCTTCATGTTTTGGCTGAGAGTGTGACTAGAAAAAATAATCAACAGGTTCATAAATTCTAGAGGTGGATCAGTGGCAGCCAGGGTTCACAAATTTGTTAGGATAAATATGCGAGAGTTCTAAGGATCATAGATTGGTGAGGATCCTCAAAACTTCATATATGAGGTCAACAATATATTTGGGGTTAGTCAAGTGACATGTAACAAGGGAGTAGAATTGGCATCCTAGCAGCTAAAGAATGTAGCTCTCATCTGGTATACTCAGAGGAAAGAGAACAGGGTACAGATGCACCTTTTATCACTTGGGAATGCTTTGGTGAAACTTTTGTAGATAGGTTGTTCCAAAGAGAGTGGAGGGAGGCAAGAGCTCAGGAGTTTATAAATTTAAGTTAGGGTTCCATGTCAGTCCAAGAGTATGGATCATGTTCACGCAACTCTTCAGGTATGCTCCTCATGTGGTCTTCAATTCCGGGGCAAAAATGAAAATGTTTTTTATATGTTGCTGGAAAATATGAACATCTCTACGCTCATGACTCATGCCCAACAGGTTGAGGGTTATTAGCTGAGCGAACATGCTAAGGAGAACAAGAAGGCTAGAACATGAAACTATGATTATTATCAACACAAATTGGGTGGTGGAAATCACTCACTGTTTTAGCAATTGTCTTTTGATCTAGTACCTCTAAGTTCTGAAATGATCATAAAGAGGGCATCAAGATCTAAGTCTCAAGGAAGTATTTCAGGCACTAGAAGCTATCCAACTTTTCAAAATTTTGGTTAGACCCATTCAACCGAGTGTCTTTCATGGAATGAAGGATGCTTTTTGGTGTTGTCAGTCTGATCACACGTTGAGATATTATCCTTCCACTGAACACAGTCAAAGGGGCAGTGTTGGTAGAGCTCAGTAGATAACTTTAGTAGCACCAACAAGTCGCCCAACTTAGGACTGTAACTTCTGTGGTACAGGTGAGGCACAATGTCAAATCAACTTGTATGCTCTCTAGGATCGCTAGGTTTAGGAAGATTCTACCAATGTAGTCAGTGGTACATTACGAGTCTTTGACTTAAATTTTATGAATTGTGAAACCCAAGGGACAATCTTTCCTGTGTAACTCATTTTATAGTATAAAATTTAGTGTTAGTCCAAAAACTCTCTCAGAACCCATCTCAATATCTACTCCAATTAGGACCCAATTATAGCTCAACGGGTGTACAATAATTGCTCTGTAAAAGTTTCTTAGAAAGCCACCTCAGCAAATTTTTTATAGAGAGAAATGGTAGACTTTAATATAATTATAGTGATTGATTGGTTACATTACTATCATGTCATAGTCGATTGTAGAATTAGGATTTTTCTTTGTCAGTTTCCACACAAACCAATCTTAGAATGGAAGGATAGTAGCTTAGCCCCTATGGGTCAGTTTGTTTCTTACCTTAAGTCCAGGAAGATGATTTGTAAGGGGTATCTCTATCATCTAGTTTGAGTCAAGGAGTCTAGATCTGAAACCCAACTCTTGAGTCAGTTATAGTAGTCAATGAGTTACCAAAAGTGCTTCCAGAAAATCTTCCTGGAGTTTCTCCCAAAAGGGAAATCGACTTTGGAATTTATCTACTTCCATATACCAACTATTTTTATTCCCCCTTAAAGAATGGATCCAGATGAGCTTAAGGAATTGAAAGAGTAGTTAAAAGAACTTCTATATAAGGGATTCATCAGACCTAGTATTTCCTCATGGGGTGCACCAATGTTATTCGTGAAAAAGAAAAAACTCTTCTCTCCATTAACTTTAGGCAGTTGAACAAGGTCATAATCAAGAACAAGTACACTATTTTCAAGATTGATGACTTGTTTGACCAACTTCTGGGTGCTAGCCATTTTTCAAAGATACACCTTAATTCGGTTACCATCAATTTAGAGTTAGAGATAGTGATATCCCCAAAAAAACTTAAGAACTCTGTATGGTCATTATGAACTATATAGTTATGTTATTTGGACTAACAAATGCTTTTACAAGTTTCATGGATTTGATGATAAGAGTGTTCAAGAAGTATTTGGGCTTGTTCATAATCATTTTTATTGATGATATCCTTATTTACTCTAGAATTGAGGTAGAACATGCAAATCATTTGAAGGTTGTCGTGTAAACTCACATAGATCATTACTTATTTGTTAAGTTTAGAAAATGTACGTTGTGGTTAAAATCCATTGCTTTCCTTTATCATGTCGTGTATAGCGAAGTGTTTTAAGTGGATTCCAGGAAAATAGAAGTAGTGAAACAATGTCCTAGACCTACATCTCCTGCAGATATCAGAATTTTCTTGGGTCTAGAGTGTTATTATAAAAGTTTGTGGAAGTATTTTCATCCATTGACTCTCCATTGACTAATTTGAATTAGAAAAATGTCAAGTTTTAGTGGTCAAATAATTGTGAAAAAGCTTTACGGAACTAAAAACTTGGTTGACTATAACTCACTCCTTTTTTGACTCTACCATAGGGTTACGACAATTATGTTATCTATTTTAATGCATCC